CGCCCATATTATGAATGTCTCTGTGCGCACACCTGTGCGAACACACGTCGACGTGGAGTGTGTGTATATGATATAGTGACTGCGCATGTGCGCGTCCACTTGGAATGTGCATATGATGAATGTCTGTGTGCGCACACCTGCGCAAGCACGTGTCCGCTTGGAGTGTGTGTATATATTGAATGTGTTGGTGTGCGCACACCTGCGCATGCACGCCTTAACAGAAAGACGTTCTGTAGCCCTGCGACATAAGAAAGAGTGATGCTTTGACACTGCCAGCACCTACCCGAACGTACCGGGGGGCGGTGTGCTGATGGAGTGCTGGATTGCAGGGGAAGCTTCTGTCGTCGAGGTGGAAGGGAATTCTGCAGTCGAAGTCCCATAAGTGAGGCCCAAGAGGGCGAAGACAAACGCCACCAGCGCAGGCACCGCTCGCCAATTTCCGCTGGCAGCCATTTTCCTCTTCGCCCGTCGGGCCCCACTTGCCCCCCGCTGTCGATCTCACGGTGACCGGTCGACGATGCCATGATGATGTCATATTGAAGATCTAAGCATCGGCTGCCAACAAATGCAGCCCCTACAACGAGAATGAGATCATCGTGGCCCCCGTGTCGGTGCCCAAGCAGCAGAACGATCACGATGACGATGAAGTCGACGACTGGGGCAGCCCAGACAAGACACCCACTCCTTCTGCCAACGCCCTGCGTCCGATCCCCTGTGTGGCGTCTCCCAAGAGCATCGCCACTGACGGCGATGCCGAGGACAGCCCGGCTGAGTCGAGCCAGGCGGCCGTGGTTGAGAGGGAGGGCGATGCAGAGGCGGACGATGGCGATGAGACGGCACTGTATCACGATGCTGACGACGCCGAGGGGGAGCAGGGTGAGGGTGCAGCGGAGGCTGCTGCTGTGGAGAATGCGCTGCGTGACGATCTGTCGGAGGATTTCGAAGACAATGAGGGCACTGGAGCCGACTGTGAGGAGGGGGATCCTCATGATCATGACGTGGTGGATGGAGGGGAAGACGAAGAGGAGGAGGAGAATGAGGCCGAGGAGGGCATCGCTGACCCTAAGGTTGCTGGAGACGTTGTCGATTCAGGTACGCATGACAAGGAAAATGGCACACGCCAAAGACGACGGAGCAGGGAATTCATTGGTCTGGCAGATTCGGATAACGAGGACGACCTGCCTTACCAAGAGCTGCCGGCTTTTGGTCCGCATGCGCGTTGATATAAGAACGCACGCATACACATTCCTTGTGTGCCTGTCCGGCTCCTTCAGCTGGTTTCGTCTCTCAAGAAGCCCTGAGGGTCCTCACTCATCACACGCAAAACACCTCACGGTGGGCGAGAAATTCACCGATCGCTCGAGGCACACACCATCCATTGCCTCTTCCGCTGTATGTGCGTGCAGGCTGAGTGAGATTGCAGAGCTTGCTGCGGCTGTCGCGGACTCTCCCTGCCCGGCCAGCGATGCCATCGTGCACCTCGGCAACCCCACTCCGTTCCAACGAACCCACTCCACAGAGGTGCCCTCATCCACATCGGGCAATGGCGAGGACACGCCTTCAAGCACCAGCACCAGAAGCGAGAGGGAGCAAACGTAGAAGGAGAGCTGAGACACATGCACTGCTGGGTGATCGCGTTGATACATCGGGCCGCATTATTATGTCTGTATTATTGGGTGCCTGGGTGTAGTCAGTAGCTCCCTTCTTTGATTTGCTGGCAGACAATGGCCGGATTGATATTTGTGTGAAAGACAGTGCCGGAGACTGCGCGCGTGTGTGTGTGTGGTTGTTGCTGGGGGGCGACGCATCTATGTTGATAGGTGTGTGCGTGTGCCGTGGGTTGCATGCATACAAGGAGACGGCGGTGGCAGTGCTTATTCATTGACGCATTTCGTTCACTCACCCGAGTGACTGACTCAAGGCGCCAATTTTCTGGTATGCATCGATGTGAACTTTCTTATTTAAGTAGATACATGAACGGGCGACGAAGTTCGTCTAAGCATCAGTCGTATCAAGCAAGGAAAAGGGAACAATACATGTAGAAAACAATGGATTTAAGCGCTCGTTGGCTGCGAAAACATGTCGCACACTGCAAACAAGCGCGAGACATCCAACATGACACACACTTTCACGAAATCCAGGTCCAGCCAGCCACCTCACAGCCCCGGAGCGGAGCTGGTGTGGGGCCTGTAAGGCCCGCGGCTGACGAAGTCCTCAGGAAACGCGTTGGCTCTCCATGGCCCTCTGGCGGCCGCCGCGCGCTGTGCACGACTCGCCACTTGAAACGCGTTGTGCTTCATCAACTCGACGGACAGAAGCTGGCTCCAATGGTTGATGATGCTCTCTCGAAAAGCTCTGTCCTCCTCCGTGGGAATCGATGTGGGGCGAGGCTTTCGCTTGGCGAGCATCTTGAGAAGTCCATGGTCTTCTCTCCCCATCTGCCGAATGTCTCCGCAGCAAGAGGCACGAAGCGGAAGCCGGCTGCTTGGGTGGTTGGTCTATACTTGTCGATCTTGTCTTTCTCCGCAAGCTGAGCCGCCTTGCCACCAGGAAGCTGTGCGCCATGCCGGTTGACTGTCCGGTGGAAGGGAATGGGGGAGTTGTCAGGGCGGCAGGGGTGGGCGACGGTGACGTCGAGCAAATAGTCGCTTCCGTCGATCACACAATAGATGTCCATGCGCTGGTTGTTGGGGTTGTCGTCAGGCAGGGTGATGCCGAGGCTGTGCAGAGACACCTCCACATTGAAGGGAACATCTGCCTCAGCCAGGATGCGAACAAACAAATTGCGCATGTTGGTGTATCTCGTGACCCGCTCACGGCCGGTGTGACACACGTAGAAGTGATCGCCAAACTTGTCGACCTCCCCGCCGCAGATGCATCGCTGCGAGACGGTTGCGTGCGGGAGGGCAATGCCGAGACACCCGGCGACGGCATGGCGATACTGGAAGTTGTTTAGTGTCTTGCTATCGCTGGAAGGGATTGCTGACAGCCAAACAGACGAAAGAGGCCCTTGGCAGCTCAAAAGACGGGCGCGGGCTGTGCTGTCGGGGGGGAGGGAGTTGAAGAGCTCGTTGAAGCGGAACTTATGCAGTTGATCGGTCAGGCGCTGCTGTAGCCGAACCTGCGGTCTCGAGATAAGGTCCTGGAGGGAGGGGAGGGAGAAGGAGGGGCCGACCACCTCAGAGATGGCAGCGAGGGCGGGGACTGCAGCTTGAAGCCAGGATAGATCCAGGAGAGCAGCGGGCCTACCCTGAGGCATCCACGGTGCTTCTCGGAACCGGCTAGAGACATCAGATGCCGTCACACCGATCGAGCCCAGAAAAGCCGCACGGGCAATCGTGGATGCAGAGACAAGGCCAAAACCTTCCAGCCGAATGGGTAGCTGCACTTGTGTGGAGACCGAGGCGGGGAAGTCGCCGGGAAAGCGGAAGATGCGCCTGAATGCCGTGATAATGGCGGCGTCATGTCGCTCGGCGGCTGCCAGGGAGACATCGGATTCTGGGGGAAGGAGGTGCAACCAATAGTTCAGCCGGGGGGATGCACAATAGCGGAGAAGTAGGCCTGAGCCCTGTAATCCCTTCTGAGCAAAAGTCACGATTGCGTCGAGCAGCGGCTGGTGGCTGCTGGTGATCTTCTAGAGGCTGTGCTGGATGAAATAGTCGCCACCAAGTGGGCAGCCGAGGACAGTGATACCTTCAATGGAGCACTTGACGCTGGAAGCAGCGATGTCCGCCGGGATGTCGGAGTCTTGTTGCCAGCGGGGGCTTCATACAGCACTCTTGTCTCTCCGCACCCTCAACTTCTTCTCGGCCAGAAGCTGTTCGGCTCTGTCCACATACCCCATAACACGTGTCTCGTCCAGTTCACCATCGATGTCGTCCATGAACGCACTAACGAAGTCGTCGGGGAACTCCTCTTGCAGTTTGACGAGGGCGGGGTGGAGGCCCAGGCAAAAGAGGAAAGGGCCCGCCGCGTCGCCTTGCTGGGTGCCCTCCTGACTGAGAATTGTCTGTTCCTCCGTCCTTCATGCGATACCATAGTTCAGCCGGGGTGCCGTAGAACTGCCAGAAGAAATCGACAAGGGACGGCCACTTTGTGCCGAGCTCGTCGAGGATCGCCTGACGGTCGATGCTGTTGAAGGCGTTCTTGCAATCCAAAGTCACCAAGACCCGTCTACCGGAATCATCGCGGCGTGTCTCCATGTAGGTCTGACAGGCCCTAAAAGTCTTCTCTCCGCCTGCCGACGTACCGACCGCAAACTGTAGGGGTGAGAAGTCGTCCTCAAAGGCCAGCTTGTTCTCCATACAAACTGCCTTCGTCACCCATCTCCAAAGCACATCACCCATAGCAATCGGCCGGACACCACCGTTGTCTTTCATCAGAGCGAAAAGGCGGGCGGCCGAAAGAGTTATAGTGCAGCTGTCCGGCATATTACCAGCGAGCATCCGGCTGACAAGGGAGGGCAGGGGGAAGGTCTCGTCTTCTGCCGAGGCGTCACCCTCTCCCATGCAGGCACGAAGATGCTCATACCGCCATCCCGTGGGGCCGGCTGCGGAACCTCGCGGCGCCGTCTTGAGGGCAGCCAGTAGAACTCTGGGTGGGACCGTGAGAGGGACGGGCGGTCCATCCGGGCCGTTCTGGGGCTGCGGCTTTGTGGGGAGCGGAGCTGCAGGGTGTAGGTCCTTGAGCTGCTGGAGGGTCGCCGTCGCTGGAGCGACCTTGGCGGCCGTCAGCCGTCTTGCCGCACGTGACAGCTCCCCTTGTTTCACAAACCTCTCTGCCGCTCGCAACTTGATCTCCTCTAGGGATGGCTCTGGTACACCCTCCACTGGTCCGTCGCCACGTGGAGCGCAAACGTGGCGACCCTGCTTAGCAAAATTTCTGGACTCGTCGAGTAATCCTTGCCATTCTCCAGCCCAAAAACGCTTGAAGCGAGAACCCCACTTGCGGTGGCCGCCCGTCTTGCCGCGATTCATCGGGAAGAGCAGCATAGTCGGCAAGAAAATAGCTGTCAAGCAGCCGACATCCGAATCCTCCTCGTCCTTCGCGTACTTCTCGGTGGTATCCACCACCATCTTTAGCGAGTGGCGGACACATCCAGGGATGCGTGATATGGTGCGAACGCCCAGCTTAAAGTGGTCATCCCGTTGCTCGGCAGTGAGAGTGCGAAGATAATCAAGCCCACGCTGCGGGAAAATTCCTCTCGAGCCAAACCAGTGGGAGACGTGGGGCGGATCAGGTGGTGGACCAGAGGGAGGGGGAGGTCCTCCTCCGTTTGGGGGCGGCCCATTGCCGCCCGAGTCAC